GCGTGCGTGCGTGCGTGCGTGCGTGCGTGCGTGCGTGCGTGCGTGCGTGCGTGCGTGCGTGCGTGCGTGCGTGCGTGCGTGCGTGCGTGCGTGCGTGTGTATGTGCGTGCGTGTGTATGTGTGTGTACACATATCTTATATTTGTTTTATAATTCTTTGATGAAAGATAATAACGACAGTTTTAATAGCTGCGAAATAATTACCGCGACCGCGATAACATATTCAAATCAGAAATTGTTGTTTTGTTGCTACTGCGCTGAGCGTACTTTGTGATATAATTGTTACTATTATGTTGTACAATAGTAACACATGTATATGTAGTCTCTCAAACAAATTATTTTCAGTCTCTTAAACCAAAATCTAGATATTAATACTTATTTTCTATTTCATTATTTAAAGCAACTGATGAGATACTTTAAATTATTTACTGATAACATATTTCATGCAGGATAATTGAATATATTTGTTTTGTTTTGATTTGTTATAAAAAGAATGAATATATGATCGATCAATTACATTGAAATGAAAATAGATATGGAATTACAAGATCAATGTGAGAAAAAGTAAAAAAAAAAAGATAGTTTCACATTATAATCACAGCACATATTAATTTAAAGAAAACTATATCATTATACATTACTTATATAGAAATTTATAATTTGTTCCTCGACACACAAAATACACCTTTCTTCTCTTACGATATTGCTCGTATATGTATATAATACATATTATGTCTATGATATAGTGCAAAGAAAAAAAAGAAAGAAAAAGAGAATCATCACAATATTTGAGAATTTCCGATTTTTTATATTAACCATGAGTGATAATTAAGTTATTTGAGATGAATGAGAACTGTGATTTTTTTATAGTCTTGTAGAGTTTCAAGCAAATTTTCAAGAGACGAGTTTACAAGATTGCGCCGTATACACAAAATATAAAGTTCAAAAAATGTGTACCTATTCTTCAAGACTGGTAATCGTTGTGTTTTAATAAAGAAGTCACAAAAAGCTTAATGTTTTGTATTCGAGAAAGTACGAAGTTACTGACTGTCATGAGAGGTAAGGATAGCTTCGACTCATTTTTACAAATGTTTTAAAGTAGTCTCATTTTATTTCACTGAAATTCTCTTTATTTACAAATGGCACGAAATTTCAACATATCATTTCTCGCTTATGACAACACGATTTAATACAGCCGCTGCGACTATTTATAAGTCATACTAAAAAATAAGGCATAACTTCTTGATTTATACACTAATACTTTTTCCTTACAATAGTAATTGATTAAATCTTAATCCGCTGATGTGACTAATTTGGTTTCCTAACGAGATGGAACAAAATTGTTTTCAATATTATAAAAATTCTACAAAAAGGTCAATCTACAACCCATTTTCGATGTATTCGTGAAAACGCACGATTTTGCCTGTTGTATTCTTCTGAGGAGTAGCTGCAAATGAAGTTCTTACATTATGCACCACCCAGTGGTATATTGTATTCAATTTACTTACAAAAGTAAAAAAGAGAAACACATATCCATCTACCTATTTTTATACTTTATATCTGTGATATTAAAATTACATACAACGTTATCATTTTCTATCTTCTTTTGCAACTTCTTCCTATTTATCGCGGAACTGCTAGTCCTAGATTGAACGGTACCCTCGCCAAGAATCTTGTGCCGAGGTTTCTGTTGCGCCATAATCTTCCTCAGCAGCAGCTCATTCTCCCACTCGATCTTGCGCATTTCCTCATCGGTGAAGCTCATGTTCCATCGTCTGTACTTTCTCGACTTGGTAAACCTATCCCTATTTGCTGTGGCAGCGCGAGACAGTTCGTCACTGAATAAATAAGATTCATCCAGGCAATTGTCCTTCCAACTTGATTCACTAACTTCAATGTTCTGTTCTTTAGAACTCTGGCTGAGTTGGAGATCCGTGATATGGATCAAAGAAGAAGTATTCAATGATTCTGATGTGACATTTGTAACTTCAGACTCGTCGTAGGACTCGTCAGAGTAGAAAGACTCGCCTATATACACTGATTCGTCATCCGACGTGTCCTTGATCTTTTGCGCAACTTTATCACCTTCTTCATCCGAAGCATAAGAATCTGGCTGATCTAAAGCCGTCATTTCTTCGGTCTCGCTCTCTACCTCGTCGATCTCATGAATATTTGGGATGTTATTAGACTTGTCTTTCATCTCTTGCGAATTTTTGTCAAGAGCGTATCGACATTCACAGATATTTATTTCATTTTGCTTCGCCATAGCGAGATAATCATCGGAAAAGGCAGAACGAGATCAGCAAGGAATGCGAAATTTCCACTGATGACCAGAGTTACTATTATAACTGATGACCGCACGATGAAACAACGCGGTGAAACAAAACTTACATGGCTCGAATAAAACCGGAACCAAACGGTAACTATGTCGACCGAACGGTCAACAAACATTTCATAGCTGATACGTTCGAGTGCATTCTAATCAATAAATCGATTCCGAGTATAATCGATAGGACAATGTATAAAATTCAGCTAAATCATGTAGCTTTTCATTTTCTTTATATTGATATTTTCAGAATTTTGATAAATATGTACTATAAATTAAAGTATTTTTTTCCAAACTCATTTTTCATACATAATATCTCATCCAATTTATATAGTTATCTTATAATTATCTTATCAAATTATATTCATCAATCTTTAATATTCCTATTTACATATTTCATACTTTTATGTTTGCATTTATAATCATTCTCAATGTTTTGAATACAATTGAATTTTTATGTTACATATCGTAATCTCCATTACGGGATAACGATAATAAGATATCACTTAAGTTTATCAAATATTATTTTATACTTATAAAATATGACATTTTTCGAGAACAACACGATCTCAAAACAAAAGATTTAATACAATGAGAATTAATCATTTGCAAAACCGAATACTTTTAAACTACCGGCGTCGCGTTTCCGATCATAAGAGTCCTTATCGTCACAAGCATAAGCTAAGAGATATTGTTTCGGATGCCACGCAACAGTAAATGTCGCTGCTTCTACTGGAACATCAGCAATCTTCTCGCCAGTCTGTACTTCACCGATATCTATGACTAAGTCCTCAGAAGCCGCTGCCAGGAGTTGTCCGTCATATGAGAAGGAGATAGTCCTAACTGGCCACTCTAATCGTGAGAATGTCCTCAAACAACACAGCTCATCGGCATCCCACAGAGAAACCAGTGCATCCGCGGATCCGGTAGCAAAGTACCGACCGGTTGGATCAAACTCAATGCAGATACAAGTACCTGGATGTGCCTTGATCACATGCAACAACTCCAGCTCTGGATAGCTAAGTATATGCACACAACCCTGGCCATTTGTCAGATAAAACGTATCTGAATCCTTGTTCCACGAGATCTCGTTTACTTCGAAGTTAAACTGCTCCTCCGCACGTATTTTCATTACCCGGGCGTCAATGAACGTGACCAAGTCTTCCTTGTTCCCTACAGCAATCGTGTTACCATCTGGCGACCACGATATATTAATATTTTCCCCTCTAGTGCTAATATTTGCTGTGCATTTTTGTGTTCTTGTGTCCCAGATGCGAACTGTCTTGTCTCCACTTGCTGTAGATAATAGTTCTGGACAAAAAGCATGCCAGCATAATTGGTCTACGCTACCACCATGTCCTCTAAAAGTCGTTTCCTGCTTCTATAAATTAAAAAAATTATTTTAAAAACTTTATATTTAAATTCATGATTAGAATCATGTTAATATTAAAAATATTATAATTATTATAAATAATTATTGAAAATATTTAAAGTTAAAGGATTTTATCAAGAATATTATTCCAAACAATAAAGTATCTTCTAACTTGAAAAAAATTTTAATATTTAAAATACAATTTTTCAAAAGATATTTAAAACAACACAATTGTAAGAAAATTACAAAAGATATTCTGATGTGCCACCACTTGATTATTGTTTCTATTTCAAATTTTTTAAAGAATAATTATACCAAAGAAAGGAAATAAAAGCAGTACTATTAAAGTACTATTAAAGTTTCATTAATTATACAGCTCCCTTTAAAACAATACAGTTTTTCTTTCACAAATCAGAAGAAATGCTCCAAAAAGGATAGCTATTATATCTGATATTGTTGAATTATTCTAATATCAACTATTATATATTAACCTTATATATATATATATATATATATATATATATATATATATATATAGCTACACACACTGTTTTTTATATCCTTTAAATATCAGGTTGTTCAGAAAGTTTGTTTCAAATTTTCTACTTCAAAATAGTATATTATACATTTAAAAAATTAGCGATTTTATACCATTTGATACAGCAAAGTTTCAGCTTTAAGAATCTGATTTCTTAATTGCAGTACAATGATTTTAAATGAAATTGTGCGCAATTAAAATCAAAATGTTCGTTTACTTAACTCACAAATAACTAAGAAACAAAAAATCATAGGAATATTAAAAAAAAATGATTTTGTAAGAAAAGCTTCCTGCTTTCACAATAGGTAGTCGAAAATTTTTGCAATTTTTTGAGGGTACATGAAAAACCCACAAAGTAAAAAAATTTTTTATTTTTTTCAACTTGTAGTTTTTTTTATGTATAAAAATTATCAAATTCACAGAAACTAAAAAAATATAGTAACCATTTAAAAGTAGAAATTTCAAGCTTTAAAAATTTTTTTTTTTTATTTCATTAATTTTTTACGAATATGTTGTATATACAATTTTAAGCTAGAAAATTGAAACAAACTTTCCAAACAAGCTAATATACACTCAAAACTCAATCCATATTTGTTACCCTAACTTCTGTAAAAATAGACATATATCAATTAATCTTTTTTTAATCCACGAAGAATTGATTAAGAAGCAAGTCCAAAATATATAAAAGATGGTAGAATGAAGGAGCTTCCAGGTGTATAGTTTCAAAGAAAATGTGTATAGCTAGGGTTAATATTTATATGTACAATTCTCAACCATAATTACCAATTTTATGGATAAATAATTTTTTTTTAAATGGTTAAAATGCTGTCAAATTGTATAAAAAAAATTTAGCAGAAGTTTTTATGGTATATAGGGAGAAAAATCACGCCACGCGAAGGAAAATGTTATAAGTTATGTTTACTAACCAAACGATCCGGGAATAGCGAGAATATGCAAACGGATTTGTCAAAGGAGCCTGAAGCCAAGTATTTGCCGTCGCAACTCCATCCTACGCTGTGTACTTTCGCCGAATGACTCTGTTGTTCTCGAATTTTGTTATGCGATTTAAAATAGTTAATTAACTCCTCTACACGCGAAGTGCTAATAGCCATCGTTATCTGAAATCTGAAGGATCACAAATAGTATTAAACTTTGACTTCACACAATTTCTTCCATCACGATTAATCTGTTCTTAAGCTCGTGTCCACTGTTCAATTCTAAATTCTAGCACCGTAGACATAAAGCTTTAATTTGTTCTTTTCAGTTTAACTAAAAAGCCTTTTGATCTCTTTAAACTTGATTTTATTAATTGCGTAAACGTAATTGCAATTGTAAGGGCTACGCAAAATAGAGTGTGTTCCAAAATTGACTGCCAGACTGAAAACCTATAGTGCTCGTGACGTAAACTATAGATTTTCAGTGTATGTACTGGCAGTCAATTTTGGAACACAAGCCAAAAGGAATAGAGAACAGAGAATAAAGGCCGCAGCACACTTTTGCATGACGCATAAGAGAATCAACAAATCATAATCCTTCTTTTCCTCCCACTTCACGGAAGAGAAGTATTTTGATTGGTTGATTCGTTTATGCACTATGCATTATGCGTCATGCAAAAGTGTGTGCTGCGCCTTAAGAATTTCAACCTAACAGCAATCATATACTGTGGAATAAACAGTGTGTATTCCATAGTATATGATTTCTGATAGGTTGAAATTCTTATTCCCTGTTCTCTTTTCTATATGTTCCTTTTATTCTGTAAGCGTAGCTCTTAGGGCGGGTTCACACCTTGTGGAAAAACGGAAAGCGGAAGAGCCAGTAGCCAATCAAAACTCGCGCTGGTAGTCGACTTTCTGTTAGTTTTATATTTACTTGCTACCAATGCAAGTTCTGATTGGCTACTGTTGTCCGCAATCCACTTTTCTGTCAAGGTGTGAACCCGGCCTGAGGCGTATTTGCCGCGTGTGTATCGCGTACTGTAGATCAGGCTGAAGATAGAATCGAATCGAATCGAAAAATCGAGCGCACCAATGAGCGAATAAGCATTCTAACCTTACGTGAAACGTTCCGTGAATTGCACAAATACTATATCACAAGGTGGACGATAAGACTCTGAGCTGCTCTGAGCTTGAATCTGATCCGTAGAAAGAAGTTTAAGGAGTGTTTGTCCGTCGACGGACACACACAGTGTACTAGACCGGTGACAAAAGTTAATACAAGTATCGGACAGTTATGGGTGTACCGACTGGTAGAAACGTCGAGGCAATGGACGTGGATGTGAATCCGTCGGACACACAGAACGGCGATGGTGACGGCGTGGGTGAACGCAGGGACACCGATATGCAAACTTTGTGCGACATTCGGGAGCACACGCGGCAAATCGAGAAAGCAGTACAGAATAAAGAACGCTTCGTGCTCCGCGCCCTTCGCGCCTTACCCAACACTCGGCGTCGTCTTAATCCGGTCGTGCTGCGCGGCCTCGTCACGGGCTTCTACACCAAGTCTGCCGTTGAGCGCGACGCCTTGCTCGCTTGGATGGAGGAACCGATGGACGTGGACGATTGCCAGGCCGTCACCCAGAAGTTCCGTAGTTCCTCGGCATCTTTGTTGCCCGAAATTGATGGTTACATTCATTTGCTAGTATTGATCCGACTAATCGACACCGGCAAATACAACGAGGCAGTGCAGTGCTCGGAGCAATTGGTCCAGAAAATTGCTGCACAGAACCGTAGAACCATTGACTTGATCGCCGCCAAATGCTACTTCTATCACTCGCGTGCGTACGAGCTAACGAATCAGCTGGACAAGATTCGTGGCCTTTTACATCTTCGTCTGCGTACTGCAACTCTACGCAATGACTTTGAGGGCCAGGCAGTGCTGATCAATTGTCTGTTGCGCAATTATCTACATTACAATCTATACGATCAAGCAGACAAGCTGGTGCTTAAATCGACTTTTCCCGAATCGGCTAGCAATAACGAGTGGGCCCGCTTTCTTTATTACCTTGGCAGGATTAAGGCTGCCAGATTGGAGTACTCGGCGGCGCACAAGTATCTAGTACAGGCTATGCGCAAAGCACCACAGACTACAGCGGTTGGATTTAGACAAACTGTACAGAAGTTGGCGGTTGCTGTGGAGCTTCTTCTCGGTGACATCCCAGAAAGACAGATATTCCGGCAGGCTGCCCTAAGAAGGGCCCTTGCCCCGTATTTTCAGTTGACACAGGCAGTACGTCTGGGCAATCTGCAACGTTTCGGTGAAGTACTGGAGAACTTTGGTCCGCAGTTCCGTGCAGATCACACATTTACCCTGATCCTGCGATTGCGGCACAATGTCATTAAAACCGCGATCCGTTCGATCGGTCTCTCCTATTCGCGCATCTCGCCAGCTTACATCGCTCGTAAACTGGGACTGGACTCTAGTGTGGATGCGGAGTTCATTGTGGCAAAAGCAATCCGCGACGGTGTAATAGAGGCTACCTTGGACCCGGAGAACGGCTACATGCGTAGCAAGGAAACCACAGACATTTACTGCACCAAGGAGCCACTGTTGGCGTTTCATCAAAGAATCACCTTCTGCCTAGATCTGCATAATCAGAGCGTGAAAGCGATGCGTTATCCGCCAAAATCTTACGGGAAGGATTTGGAGTCCGCAGAAGAGCGCAGAGAGCGAGAACAACAGGATCTTGAGCTGGCCAAAGAGATGGCTGAGGAAGATGACGATGGTTTTCCTTAAATCTCTCGAATTCATGTCTGTTTGTCTTAGACAAGATGGAAAATTGGAAAAAAGCATGGTAGAAGATATTAGAATATGTGCTTTTCTAAAAACGTTAAATTGGACTAACATTAAATTTATTGAGTTTATTAATTAAATTTCTAGACACATCTATAGTATGATAAAGTACCTTTGCCGTGACATTTATACTCTCAGCACTCTTCATGCATGTTTTGTAAATGTCATTAATCTCATACAGCACAGATAATTCCAGCAATATTGCAGCAACATTACAATGTCCCAGAAATATTATAAATGTTGTAGTAATGTTGTCATAAACTTTTGTGCTGTATAAGATAATGACTTAAGATATAAAGTCAAATATATGTAATACATACGAAATGATACATTGCAATCAATTTAATAAAGTAACTCCTTCATTTACTATATGTTATTATATCAGTAATGTTACTGCGACTAATTATATATATATATATATATAAATATAAACAAAAGAAGAAAAAGCATGGCACTAGTTTGATATATTTTTTATGACGTATTTATGTCATTTTCTATAATTTTTATATATATTTAATGAAAATCACCTAATAAATGTTATATAATAAATGAAAAGTTGTTTAATTTGTTTTAAAAAAATCTAAGATCCGATTACACACCAACATTATTTTGACTTTAAGTGAGGTTTAAAACTCTTCCTTGTTCTCTTTAAAATTGAGATGGAAAATTGTAAATCTCGTTTAAAGTTAAAGTGACGTTGGTGTATATATACATAATCAGGCCTGAGGTTTAAAAAAGAAATTATACAACTTTTTATTTTCACTCAAGTACCCAGATAACAAATCGTTCTTTTGCATTATAACAGAAATAGGAGCTTAGCACAAGTTTCCTTTTAATTGTCATCATGTTGCTATTATCAAGAAAATAGTAATTTCGTTTAGGGTAACCTAAAAGCATTATGCGGACAAATTTGCTTGCGCAAATAAACGAAGATTTTGTAGCATACTTATTGCCATAAAAGTTGCCACAGTTTGCTGGAAATCATTTTTATAGAATATTTAGTACCATTTCCGTTAATTGAATGGAAATATGTAATAGGCAGATAATAGATGTGGCTCTTCACTCGAGCATTCCATCAGTCATCACTGAGCCACAGTATACAGTAGCGCAACTCTCTGTCGGCACCTTTGATGTTGGTGAAGCCAAAATCATAGCACGCATGCGTAAGTTGAGACATTACATACGCTAACGCCATCTGAACTTTTCTTTCACTTACTCTCTTAGGTTGTCGCACACACCTTCCGAATTCTTTTGAACTCTTAATTCTGATTAACTGATTCTTGCGTTATTATATGTTTTTTTTTTTTTATGTTATTATATGTTATTATATGTTTTATGTTACTGTATTTCTTCTATCCTGTCCGAACCGTAGACTCTGTCTATAGTCCAAATAATATCTTTTTAAAGCGATGTCTACATGAGATTTGAAGATATTAAAAATTAAGCCATCAGAAATTAACAAATCATAGTAGATTGTTGTCCTGACGATTCTTATGCCTTAAAATTTAATCGTAAATTATATAAATCGTTGGTTAATTTATTGAAACATTAAAGAAATCTGATTATAAAAAAGTATAAAATTAAATTATATAATAGATATGTAATTTATAAATTAAAATTAATAAATCTCCCAGGTTAAGACAATTGAGCTATACTGGTTATTAGATATATATATAAATTTATTATAATAATATAACACTGATATACGGAACATTTCTACTTTACAGAGTCATCATCAGTCGTAATTAAATTGTGAATTGAGTAAAAATATTTTTTAATTAATTTAATATATTGTAATTTATAAATGAATATACATACATTTGTGCGTGCGTGCGTGCGTGCGTGCGTGTGTGTGTGTCATGTTTGTATGTATATTTACATATAAAGGGGGAATACAAATTTATAATTACAGAACATGATGAACTTTATTTTAATATGATAAAAAGTTTATAATGTATCTATATACGCATTTTTTTTTATTTTTTAAGTTTCTTTTACTAGATCATACTGTAATTATACTCAATCTATGGTCTAGAAAGAAAAAAAGAAAACATATAGAAAAATTAAGAAATTGTTTATTATAAATTCTATACGCAGTTTACATACAAAATCGATAATATGCGATTTTAAACATGCTAATGTATAGATAAATATCATTTGACTTCACTTTATTTTACTTCACTGCACTTCACTTCACAATAATCCACTTTACTTTATTTTTTTTCACTTTACTATCAATATCTACAACAATTTGCAGGACATCACTGACGAATAAAAGCATACGAACTCATGGTATAAAGACAAGGGTATGCTCGTTCTGTGTCAGACCACTGCGCATTCCCACCACTTTTTGTTCTTGCTTACGTCATACTCGTGTAAAGTAAATGTAGAGGAAGCTCGTGTGACGTAAGCAAGAACAAATTCCCTGGATTGTCCCTATCTGAAATATGCGCAAGAGCATACCCTTGTATTTATACCATGATACGAACTTAATACTGCTGTTACCGCCAATTACTACACAACACTTCAATGGTTAGAGAAAGACCGAAAACGAAAACACAAAGAATAAGTGAGAGAAAAGTTCAGATGGCGTTACCGTATGTAATGTCTCAACTTGCGCATGCGCGTTACGATTTTGGCTTCACATAATGAATAGAGTTGCGCTACTGTATACTGTGACTGAGCTGTGATGGGTTATGACCATGGTGGAAGTATAGGTGTGCTTAGTTTTGCGTTGTCTCATTCTAAAATCTCCCGACTCTCTCTTTTCTTGTCGCCGAAAAACATAGGCCTGCCACCACAAAAAATATTCCTAGAATAGTGGGTATTTCGCGCTGTTATGTTGCAAATCACACTAGGAAGCAGCACATGTATACACACAGACACACAATGCATATAAACATTGACATCTCTACTTTAATATCTAATAATTGTAATTAAAGTATGTATATAGGCCTGTTCTTTTTGCCTGCACTGTCTGAACTGGTACATACAGTGCAATAAGTTGAAATGAAACAAACGTATATCTGTTTCACTTCAACTTATTGCACTCTGTGTACCAGTTCGGTAAAAAGAACAGGCCTTATATTCACATGTGCATAATAAGCTAAGCTTATAAATTAAGCTTACATGTGCATTGCAGCATGAATCGGTGTCTTCTTCGATACTAGCTGTAGATAGTTTGCTTCAGATAGTTTTAGTAGTAAATTTAATATAAGTAATAGACATTATTAAGAAAAACACTTTACAGATTTTACATAAATTGTCTATATCAATTTTACTCAATGTGCATGTATGCATACGAGTAAAATGTATATTTTTGGAGTCTCAGAAAAAGTAGCAGAAGAAGACAATATTATAATGTTTCAACAAAATCGAAG